ACGCTGTGGTTGTTCACATCTGAAGTGCTGAAACTGCTCCTTCTGGGTCGTCACCACAGTCCAGTCTCTGCCGTCCCCCCGTGTGCTGTGGGGGCATGTCCTGATCGGAGCTGACAGTGCTGGCCAGGCGACACCAGGAGGGAGCTGGCAGTGCTGACGGCCTATACCATCTGGAGGAGGCCACTGGGACCCGGAGTCCCTGTGTGTCTGAGGTCAGGTGGGGATACGCGACATAGACCCCATACCCACCGTGTTAGGAATGGGGATGCTGTTGGTTTTCCATAGGGTATATGCTTGCTGGAGAGAGACGGAGAGGGGAAGTTAGAACCCCCTGGGGGGTGGCCAGGCCGCAGTCCCTCCTCCATTCTCCTCCTAGAATCTTGGGCACACCCTCACATGTGCCTAGCATGAATTTAAGCTGCCAAGTCAGGGAATCTAACTGCGGTTAGCCATGTGAGTCTGGTCCCTTAACCACCACACCACCGGCTGGTCCCCGTAATAGGGGGCTTTTAAGTATGTGTGTGCTGTTTCGCAGTCACTTAACGCTCTCGAGAACAGAGGAGGGAAAGTGAAGGACGCATGAGGGGCCATCCCATCCTAGACTGTGGTCGACCCGGGGCCTTGCAGGCAGGTGGAGGTGCTGCTTTTAATGGCACGGAGGAAAGCTCTTCCCTTCCCGCCGCTTCCGGCTAAGAGGGACACCGTGCTGGTGGCTCCGGATGGCATAATTCCCAGAGCACACTCGCCTAGTATGGGGCGACCGTTCTGGGGTGTCCTTCCTGCCCTCTGCTCTGGGTCTGTTTCCCCGTGAGCTGTTGTGTCCCTCGTCTGCCCGACATCCCAGCCCTCCACTCCTGCCTGGAGCTTCCTCTTACAGTCCTTACTTGAGCCACTCAGCAACTCCAGATGTCACCAAAGCCCAGAGACTCCAGACGTTCCGACTCGCCTGGAATCCCAGCCCCACCTGCCAGGAGCCGTGGGTTTGCCTGTGCATGCGAGCCCCTGAATTCAAACTACCTATTTCGCTTGGCTGTAAAAAAAGTTAATGCTGTCTTCCACTGTGTGGTACTTATTGTGTTGTTTCATTCCTAAGTGGATCATCCTTCACTGTTTTAGCATCTTGGTCTTTTTACAAGTTGAGAAATAAAGACAGCTTAAGCCCAATTTATTTTAAATTTATATTGCAGTTCTTAAATAACTTTACCATATTTATGATCATAGTCTGTTTGGTTTGCTATAACAAACTACCTGGTAGCTTAGAACAAAGCACACACACACATTTATTTCTGACACTTCTGGAGACTGCGAAGTCCAAAATTAAGATGCCGGCAGGTGTGCTCTGGTTGGAGAGCCTGTCCTGGGCTCGCTGTGTCCTCACCTGGTGGAGGGGAGACAGGCCCCTGCAGACCTCTTTCACAAGTGACGGATCCCATTCACTAAGGCTCACCTCCTCATACCATCACTCGGGGCTAGGATTTCAGCGTGGCTTTGGGGATACAACATGCAGACCGTAGCATTTATAATCCCTTTGCACAGAAGCCCTGGTTTTCCACGCTCATCTATCAGCTATGCACATGTAGTATTATTTCATTTTGTACTTTTGTAGGAAGTACCCCACGGTGTTAACCATGTGCGCGAACACGGTGTTTTACGTTTGAATAAGTACTCAGATGTAACTTGGCCTCTGAGCTTTTTGATGAGTGAGAGCAATCTTAGTTTCAGACCCCCTTCACAAGGACGTGTATGTCTTCCATAGTCTGCTTAGTTTCAACAGCATCAGCAGGTAGGGTGGTGACATGACACAGCTGGGTGTCTGGGACGTCACCAAGCTTCTGTATGTCTGTTTCATACGTGACGAAATGGGAACACAACTACTTACCTCACAACTGCCATGAAAGCGGGTTACGGGAGGTAGCTCATCCGGGCACCCAGGACAGTCCTTCGGCACTGAGCAGATGTGTGCTGGGTGTGAAACTGCACCCCCTCTCGGCACACGAGGCTGTGACTGACACGAGATCCCACGATCTGCTCTAATCCGCCCACGCTTTATCACTCAGGAAAAAGACCAGATGTCAGGTGGTGTTGGAAATGCTTCTCATTTAAGTGTGCTAATAACTCACATGTCTCATTACTGTCATCCCTACAGCCTCAACTGGGGTTTAGTTCATATTCTAATTCCACTCTGCAGAAACACGCTTTCTGAAAAGTTGTAGCTGCAAAAATCTCACCATGAAATGCAACTTTTCAATGCATGTGTACATCAGAGAACATTCTAAATAAAATATTTCATCAGACACTTTTTGACACATTTAATCTCATGACCCCAGTGAGCTTCAGTTTAATCAGTTCAGCACAAACGCCCAGCTTATTAAGCACTAATGAGCTTTAATAAAGTACATTTCTGGACCAGCAGGTGGTGTGATGGTTAAGGTGCTGGACTCCCACATGGTCAACTGTAGTTCTACTCCCAAACCTGATGGCTTGAAAATCACGTTGGGTGGGCCCAGCAAATGGTGTAATGGTTATGTCACTGGACTCCCATGTAGTTGACCGTGGTTCAAGTCCTGGACCGAGTGGCTTAAAACTCATACCAGCTGCCTGTGCATGGGAGCCCAAGATCCCAAGAGGAGAATAGAGGAAAAGGGATTGTGGTGTGGCCATCTCCCCTCGGGGGGTGATTTCTCACTTTCTGCCTCTCTGTCTCTCCTGCGAGCACACATGCCCTATAGCAAAAATCTCTCTCAAAAAAAAGAAGAAAATCATGCAGGATGTGAGGATAGAGAGGATAGAGAAGGGATTGCTGTGTGGCCATCCTCCTGGGGGCAGGGGGGCGCGATTTCTCACTTTCCCTCTCACTGTCTCGCTTGTCTCCCCATGCACTCTACGGCAAAGCCTAAAAAAGTACAGTTCCTATTGTATGCGAAATACACCAAGAGCACACTGTTGTCAGGATCATCAGGAATAAACGCAAACCACTCTGCATACAGATCAGTTATAAAAAAGTTTATTAAAAAAATAGACAATGTATGTAAACATCTCCTTCAGTCACGAGGTTCAGTGTCTGTAGTGGGAGCACCCTACCTGTTAACTAACGGGAATCAGCTGTGCCCACCTTTCAGGGAACCTACATCTGCATGGCACAAAGAGCCAGCTTCTGCCAAATACACGGACACGTGGAAAATCGAAATGCACAGCGGACTTCAGCCAGAAATAACGAGCTGCAGTAACATTCTCTAAATACAGCTTCATTTCTAAATTCATCGTAACACAGAGCTAACGAAAATAACGTGAAAAGGGAGCAGAAGCAGAGAGACAAGACAGAGGGACACCCACATCTAGCACACAGTCACGTTCACATACTCCCACTTCTCGAGTACACGCGTGGGTGCACATGTGTGCACACGCACATAAACATGAGAAGCTTTGGTTGAAGCAGAATGAGGACACGGAGGTATCGTTGTTCTCCCACATGCCGACATCTCAGGCATGAATCCATTTCCTTTCCCTGTCGCTGGGTGTTACGTGCCCCGAATGACCGGACACGGAGCAGCCACCCCAGGTTTCAAATGTGATTGAAACTGTGAGGAAATTAAATGTTATGTAACTCACTAACCCTCCAGAGGGAAGCTGGATCATAGTATGGACAAAACATTAAGTACCTGAGGCTTTGCTGCAAGAGTCTGAAAGCCAAGATTTTCTTCCTGTGGGCAGAACACGCTGCATGAGCGAGGCCTTCCAGACCCACGCACCGTGACCACTGGGCACCTGCTGGTGACCAGGGCGGTCCGTAGTAGCGTGAATGCTAGGCCTAACCTTCCTTTTCTATTATAGATGAGAAAGTTCATCACCGAATTCATTGTAAATGGCTGACGTTTTACTTATGCAGTAAATCTTAACCAAAGTGCAACTGTAAACAAAATATTGAACAGTGTTTGTAATTTAGTTTTCTAGTATATAGTCTGTCTTCTGAATAACCAAGTCCTTGCAGCAGAGGGAAATGGGGGACTTTAACCAAAGAAACTCAGACATATTTCCCAAGCTCCTGGATAGCCACGTCTGTAGTCAAAACTCAGTAGGCTTCTTGGATATGTATGATTTATAAAATGATCCATGAATAACTTTAAATAATTTAAGCTCCTGGTCCACTATTCAAAGATCCATTTAATAAACTCATTTCTGAAAATATCTATATTTTCATTTTCACCATATCAACTTACCTCAACAGATGTCTGACATTCACCCACAATTAAACTGAATGTGAAATAATGACAAAATGTTTAATTCCACCAGTGCTGTTTTTGACTTGGCAGTGTATATGGTACTCAAACTTATAGGGATAATTGTGCATTCAAATAAAGAAAAATAGCATCAAATGACATGTTAATAACACCTCATACCTGTGGACAGAGCAGGCGTAGAGAACTCGACTTTTACAATTCTAGGACAGGATGAAAGGGCTTTTCTCGCTATCAACTAAATGGCTACTGATGAAGAACCCTTCCTTCCTTTTCCTCTTTCTTTTCATTTCCAAATTTCTGCTAAAGAGAGAGACAGTTAAGAGACAAAGAAAGAGGGAGGGTGAGAAATCAACCCTTGGGGGGATGGTCACGCTGCAGTCCCTTCTCCATTCTCTCCTCAGGATTTTGGGTATGCACACACATGTGCCTAGTGTGTTTTTCATGTGTGGGACTCAAATTGCAGTCAGCCATGTGGGATCCAGCCCTTAACCACCACACCACCTGCTTGCTCAGTGAAAACCCTTTCTACAAGAATCTCACAGATTTGCCTCACTCGGGCCCACAACATGGTCGTGGCTAATCCCCATGACTCATTTTTTACAGTCGACTTTAGCGTGCTCAAGGACAAAGCGACGTTCAGTAAAACTGCCCCCAAGGAGATTTATCAGTGCCTAATTCAGGTTAGGGGCTGGAATGGAGGTTAGGGAGTTTAACAGGGTCTGCACCTGCTCCAGTCGTCGGGGTTCTATGTTCATGCAGACACCTTTACTTACTAATACCACTTGACTCTTGCCAAGAAACTAAGAGCTCTTTCTTGGCTTTTAGTCACACAAGTAACAAAGGAAAAGAAAAGATAATTAAAAAGACAAAAAGAGAAAGCCAGAAGGAAGAAAACAAAACAGTGAGTCTCCTTACAATCTCTGTCCTGTTCCAAGAGACCCGGATGACTGAGAGCGGACGAAGCCTTGAAGCTGCGAGAACATTCTGACCAGCATGGCTGACACGGGTTCTGTTTCGCACTTTGTGCATTTCAGGTTAGTAGGTGAGCAGCCAGTGGGAAGGCAGTGACAGTGACAGTGTCAGGTACACCTTTGACATCATCCCTACCTTAACGACAGGGCCACCGGCCTGACACGGCAGCATGGGAGAGCTCACGGAGGACACCGCTCTCGTTTGTTCACCCTCAAAAAGCAATGTGTGGGCCACAGAGGCACTTTGTAAGCCAGAGACCCTTTCTCCAGCTCATCCGTGGCTGGTCAGCTGGCTCTGTCGCTCCTGTGGCAATGGGCGTGGTGTGGTCCCTGTTCGGACCATCAGATGGACACCCTGCAGTCCAGATGGGGGGAACTTTGTTCTTTCCTCGGGCTGCTGAGGGAGCAAGGTGGGCTCCTGGTGGCAAGGCCAGCTGCAGGTCTGCTGGGCTCCTCTGGGAGGAAGGTGAGGCTGAGGCACGATGCTGGGCCCACTGTCTCTCCGATGAGACTTCACTTGGCAGGCAGCTGTGAGGACCAGGCCGGGAGGGGAGTGGCAGTCCTGAGGCCCCGGGGGCTGAGGTCACAGCTGCAGCAGCTGCACGAGAACGCCAAGACAGCGCAGTCAGAGAGACCAGGACTGCCAGGCAGGCCCGGACACAGTGAGAAGACCAGGTTTCACTCCTGAGGCCACTGCCCACCAACGGCAGGCTCTGGGATGAGCCAGCAATTTCTCCAAGTTCTGATCCCTATGTCTGAATTGGGGACATGTGTGTACCAGAGTTGCCCGGGAGTAAGGAGACGCAGGCCAGGGGGAGCCACTACCGAGTGCTGCAGGACTGCCAGGCCCCTGGTGCTCTCCTACAGAGCTGGGTTTGCGTCTACACCTGCACTTACACCTCAGGGGGCCTCTCGGGACATTTATAGTCAGTGACCTCCTAAAGTCAAAGGGTGACATCCTTACTTGGAGGACCTCGGGATAGGGCTGCATAGGAGACAGGTCTTTACAGTAGAGGGGATGGGGACTCCCATGAGGTGTTTATAGTAGAGGGGATGGGACCCCCATGAGGTGTTTACAGTAGAGGGGATTGGACCCCCATGAGGTGTTTACAGTAGAGGGGATTGGACCCCCATGAGGTGTTTACAGTAGAGGGGATTGGACCCCCATGAGGTGTTTACAGTAGAGGGGATTGGACCCCCATGAGGTGTTTACAGTAGAGGGAATTGGACCCCCATGAGGTGTTTACAGTAGAGGGAATTGGACCCCCATGAGGTGTTTACAGTAGAGGGAATTGGACCCCCATGAGGTGTTTACAGTAGAGGGAATTGGACCCCCATGAGGTGTTTACAGTAGAGGGGACTGGACCCCCATGAGGTGTTTACAGTAGAGGGGACTGGACCCCCATGAGGTGTTTACAGTAGAGGGAATTGGACCCCCAAGAGGTGTTTACAGTAGAGGGCATGGGACCCCCATGAGGTCTTTAGAGAGGTGAAAGGTAAAATGAGCTAACCCCCCATGACTGATGTCCTTATGAGATGAGGACAGACACACACAGAGAGGGATGGCCATGTGAGGGCACACAGGCAAGGCAGCGTCGATAAGCCCAGGCCGGACAGCTGGGTCTGGGACTTCCAGCCTCCAGCCAAGAGCAGGTGGCGCATTGGCAGAGTCTGGGCCGAGCGCTCTGGGCAGCAGCCGGACACCTAGCACACTGGTGTGTGCCAGGTGAGCCAGAGTGGGTGAGTCCATGGGAGGTGGGGACAGCAGCTGAGTGCCAGCTCCCACCCGCCCGGCTCAGATCCGGGACTGTCCTCCCTACCCAGGTCCGCGTCTTGTCCCCTGCCCCTGCGCTGCAGCAGGCTGTGACAGACTGAGGTTGCTGAAATTCGACTCTGCTCCTCCCAGGATTACAGGTTACAGTTATATCAAAATCAAATGAAAGAGGAAGATAAAAGCCAAAGGCCCCGTGATGGGACGCCCCTACGGCAGCCCGGCATCCACACCGGAGGGCCCTCACACGGCTGACAACCCACCTGGGGTGTGCGGGGAGTCCGCGAGGCCTCGCCTGCTCTGGGCAGAGACGCTGGGGCTTGGGAAGAAGCGCCTTCAGGCTCGGTCCCAGGATGCTGCGCCGGCGAGGGAGGCCGGCCCTCCAGAACAGCGTGCACGGCCTCCAGCCTCAGAGCGGGGCCTCGCTGGCTGTCCCCAGCGCCCGGAACTGGCCCCGAGGGGCCACACATGCTGAGGGTGCCGCCCGAGTCCCCGTCCTGCCCTTCGGCCTGTAGTGAGTACTTCGTGGAAGGCTGCCTCCTGGGGGCACTGGTCTTCGTGCAGGTCCCGGGAACGCACTGGAGGATGTCTTCACGTCCCTTCTCATCCGTGCCCCTGGCCTGTGGCAGCTCCCGGAGGTCCAGACCCAGCGCCACGGAGGCCAGCAGCGCGCTGCAACCCACCAGCGCTGACTCCGTCTTCCTCCTCTGGGGGGGCCTCCGCAGGCTGCTGGTGGGAGTCCCCAGGGGGGCAGCGACGGGGCTGGTGAAGGGCAGCACCTCACAGCCCCCGGCCTCCAGCAGGCCCTCGCGGGAAGCCTCTTTGCACAGCGCTGGGTCGACGTAGGCTGGACCTGCCAGTTGCCCCTGCTGGGGCCCCCCGGGGACCCCACGGTCGGGAGCAGGCTCCGGCCGGCCGTGAGCACCTGGAACAGCACAGAGGCAGCAGGTAGGGTCAGCTTCCGGGGAGAGCGCCAAACTGACACCCGCAACCCTTTTCACCTGGCAAGAGTTTGTTCCCCAGGCCAGGAAGGAGCAGGACCCCGACCCTTCAGGGTTCCCGGGGATGACCCGCAGGCAAATCACCACTGGGGTCTGCCCTTTAGGAAACTTCATGATCACTAGTGACAGCATTAATGTGGGAACAGTTACCAAGACACAAACACGCACACCCTTACCCAGGGGCGCGGAGGACCCTCCCTTCCCCGGCAGTGCCACAGTGCGAAAGGCCCTCTAAGCCAGCCCGTGGGCAGCAGCTGCTACTGCTCACTGCTGGCGCTCAAGGTGTGTGGCCTGAGCCAGCAGCCCCTGTAGCCCCCGCGTCTGCAAAGACACAGATTCTCGGCCCCAGACCATGAGAGCAGCGGGGTGCTTTACCAGGCACTGCTCAAACAGGTTTTCCAAAGAGGCTAGAGTCCCAAAAGGTCACAAATTATGCCAGCTGAAGAGGGCGCTAATTCTTACCACAGTCAACAGCCCGGCCACAACCAGAACAATCACAACAGACCCTCCGGTTTGCCCAGCCTGGCATCCCACCGCACCCCAAATGTGCTCTGCACTCCAGGCTGTCTGGGGTGCTGGCTTTCCTCCAGACAAGCCTATGCTCGTCCGTCGGCACCTCCTGTCCAGGGTGCCCCATCTCTTCCATTCCAGCTCCGGGCACCCTCACTGCTTCCTCAAGCCCCTCTCCGTACCTGGAGAAGTCGGACGCACACGGGGCAGCGAGGTGCCCGTAATGACAGCTGAGGGCAGCCTCAACGAGGAGCTCGGGACGCTCACACCGTGTTTTGCTAGAATACCTGTAATGGTCTCACCTTAAATTGCCGCGTGTGAAGACCGGCTTCTGTCTTTGTTGACAGCCCTGCCCTGAAGTGCTATAGCTGGAGTGAAGCCACAGTTGGGCCGTGGCATGCTGACTGCCCCCCCCCCCCTTTCTCCCCCCCCCCCCCCTTCACGGCCACACGCGACTGTGAAGGCAAAGCCTCGGGGCCTGTGGACGCTCAGTTCATTCAGACACACGCGACCTCCCGAGTCACTTACCTGGCTGGTCCGCGAATAAGGACGCCAAGCACATGGGTTTCTGGTTTTTAATTGACATGGTCGACCAGGGACTGTTGCCATCTGAGAGAGGTCTCGTCCTGCCGGAGAGAGAGCTTCGTTTTCACACCCACAGGCGTGTACGGCACAGAGAACTCGTTCGCACTGTGAACTGTGAACAGCTAATGAGGCGCGAATAAAGCCTCAAGAGGAGGCACAAACGATCTCAAAGTTTAACTGCCCAGTAAATCGGTTAAGTACAACAAACGATCTTGGAAAGTAAAATAATTAACTGATGAGCCTGTGTTCATCTGGCTGCTTTCGAAGGCCAAGCCTGGCCTCGGTCCCCGTGCAGGCCTCGCTGTGAGCGGCACGTACCTCTCCTTGCCGTCGGCTCGCTCTCTCATCTGAAGGGAACTGGGTCCCCACGTACAACCTTTTCTCTTGAAATCCCTTTTGACATCTTCGAATTCCTCGTGCCGAAAGCCGGTGTTCCTCACCCAGGCCTTACTGTTCTCGTCCGGGGTCACTGCGCAGAGAGCACCTTGTTACCCACGGCGGCGCTGGCCAAGGTGCCCCCGAGACATACTCCACCATCTACGGCACATTCCTGTCTGACTGACACCCCACAGTGACAAGGAAGAAGCAGACAGAGGTGAGGCGACTCTCAGGAAAGCAAGCAGCAGCGGCCTGGCCGCCGCCTCCCGGAGACACTGTGGCAGGGTTTCATGTAACTGGGGAAGGCGCCGACCCGGACGTTCGACTTAAAACGGACTTAGTACCCTAACTTTTTAGACAACTCAAAGTTTTGGATTTGAGGTACAAATACGTATGTATATATATTCATTTATTTATTTTAGCTTTGATAGCGGGCATGTGCACTCAGAGGAAGGATAGGGAGGGGGGAGCACCCGCCATGGGCGTGGTCATGTCGCCTCCCTCTTCCTCTGTTTCCCCCCTGCCTGGATGTAAGGCATGCACACACATGTGCCCCATGTGCTTCTCAGGCCTCCTGGACCGGGATTCGTACCACTCGGTGAGCCACATAGGACTGGGCTTCCTTAACCACCAGGCCACAGAGCTGGCCCCAAACATGTATGTGTAAGTGTCATTCAAGCTAATTTCTCACTCCGTCATCCCTTTAAAAATAAAAAGTAATAAGAAATGTCATACTTTCTCGCATGTTGCTTTTCTCACCACCTCACAGAGAGGCTCGTCTGCACGTCTAGGACCCGCATGTTGTGGTCACACTTACACACACCCCTTCCAGCCTCTGAGTGCACTAATAATTGCGTGGTGGGGCCAGCAGGTGGCATGGTGGCTAAGGTGCTGGATCCCACATGGCCGACTGCAGTCCAGGTTCCGGACCAGTGGCCCGAAAATCACACTGGGCACATTCGAGAGAAAAAAAATCCTGTGGAAGCTACGGAGGGGAGATTACTATTATTACATCACACTTAGGGAAAAAACCCTAAAACACACAGTACATCCTCAAAACAGCTGAGATATTCTGGTTCACGTATACAACAGCCTGAGGCCATGAAAAATGAGGTGCAAATATATAACGATTACATATTACATGTAACATGCTTCCATTTAGTATGAGTTTATGCATGTGCATGTGTATGCAAACACACACGGAGAAATTAATAAACATGGATATCAAACTTTTAGTTAAGTGCTCATCTTTGTGGGGGAGGACTGAATTTTTTTTAATAACTGGAGGCACTATAAATGATGTTTAATTTATTTGTATTTCAATATTTTCCAAATTTAAAAATACATGTAATATTTGTGTGTGTGTATTTCTGTGCATGTGTGCCCAAAATCCTGAGAGGAGAAGGGATTGAGGCATGGCCCTCCTTCCCAGGGGTGATTTCTCACTTTCCCTCTTTCTGTTTTTCCTCTCTCTCTGGCAAGAGCCTGTGCCCTCTGGCAAAAAACTAAAAATAAAAGACGTACATTTTCTGAAGGAGGCACTGGTGAGAGACCACAGGCCACCGGGCAGCAGCACCACGAGTGACCAGGACAGCAGACGCCATGCTCCCGGGCTCTCACCACGGCCACGGGCTCTCTGTACACTGAGTTCCCCACCATCACCCCCAGCTCACAAGGAAGCTGGGTTGTGACGAGGCTAGGGGACGCGTGCATGGTCACAAGTGGGAGGGCCTCAGTCCCACACTGTGGGGCTCGCGTCCACGTCCTCTGTCCACACTCTGTGAGCCACAGGCAGGCGACGCCCTTGGAGGGGGAAGTAGCTGTGGGGCACCTGGGGGCCGACGGAGAGGGCCCAGACTCGGGTCTGAGAACTGGAGCCACCAGGGCCTCCTCAGAAAGATGGTCCTGTGTGAGCACCTGCACTAGAACCCTCCCCCGGAACTTCTGAGGGTGCACGCGGACATGCTTCTCCCCAGACGGGTCTCACTTAAACTCTGCTGGGCTCGGATTTATTTGAAATCTAAAAGATATTTGCTCTTAGTAGAAGAAATCTGGGGTCCGGCCGGCCTGCCCAGAACTACTTCCCTGCTCCGTGAGGGGGTATCCCAAAGGCAGGACGTGAAGGCCTGGCAGAGGGCAAAGGGCTGGGCGAGAGCAGAGGGTGGGCCTCCCCGTGCATGCAGCCCTTCTCCAGACCGGCCCCACACCCTCCCCGATCGAAGGCCTCCCCTGTCTAGGCAAAGGAGGCAGCACGAGCCGTGACAGGCGGTGTGCTTTTAGTCTCAGGGCCGGGGCCTCCCTCAGTCCCCGCTCTGGGACCGTGAGGAGGTGTGTGGGAGCTGTGGAAGAGAGCTCTGCAGTGCCCAGTTCTCATTCCTCAGAGGGAAAAAGCAGCGGAACCCCGGGCGGGCCTCACTAGGGAACTCTCCTTTTAGGATTCTGCTCTCCGAAGGAGGACGGGCAGGCGGCAGAGAATCCAGGCTGGGGAGAAAGGAGGACCTGGACGCCTGCTGTAGCGTGGGCCAGGCGGACCCCCGCGGCCCCGTGGACATGCATACTGAGCACACTCTTGTTTTGCTTAGCCTACTTTGGGTGTTTATTTGAATCCACCTTTGGAAAAAAAACGTAATTTCACTTCACCTCCCTGCACCCAGACCCAGGGTCTATCTGGGCAAATTCTCCGTGTGCTCTGTCTGCCCCAGACCCACACCCGCCTCAAACCAGAGCACCCGCCGTGTTTCGGATTGGGCTGTCAGACCTCCAGGAGATCAAAGAGAAATTTCAGTACACAGAACGGTTTTTCTCACAAGACAAGCAAAGAAACAGAAGTAATCCTCAACTCCTGATTTTGTTTCTCAAAACATCCATAAATAAATGGCTACGATACCATCAGGTTTTGCTGGCTTTGCGTGCAGGCGTGTAACACATCACCTCCAGACGTGTCTCACTGCACCCAGGACCTAGTCTGTCTCCAGATGTGCAGAATTGAAACACGGCCCGCTGTGAGTGTAAGAAAACCAGACGGAGGAAGCCGAGACACTGCTATCTGCAGTCGGCACCTGTCACTGTCACATGCCAGACTTACAACCTGCTAGAAATGTGGCTGCTTGACTTGGAACCAAACATGTAAAGACAGAAACAGCAGCGGCCCGGCGCAGATGCTCACGCTGTATGGCCCGGAGGCGGGGGATCACCGTGGGGCTGCTGGGGGGGCTGGAGCTGCTGCTATGCAGGCTCCGGCGTCGGTCCGGGTTGGGCGAGGCCTGCACCGTGATCTTGTGCTGGAAATCTGTTGGATACAAAAGAGGGAGGGCCCGATGCTTCATGGTCTGCAGGCCGTGCACAGCCGGGTCTGCACAGGGAGGGGAGCGAGCGTGGCCAACGGTGGCTCTGACGTGTGCGGCCCATCCTTCCCTCCTGTCTGGGTTCGAGTCAGTGACAGACTAGGGCTACGTCAAGTACGGCAGGACAGACGCACAGCAGCACCCCTGGTCCTCACAGAACCTACCCCCTCCTGGAGGAAGGTCACCTGCACGGAGAACGAGGCGTTAAAATCCCAGCTGAGAGGAAGCCTGGGCGGCAGAGTCCTGTGATGGGCTCAGCAACCAGGAAGCTCAGACCGAGGGAGCGGCCCGGGGCCTCCTCACCGGGCAGGCGAGACCGACGCTACTCCGCAGTGTGGCTGTGGTGACCGAACAGAAGCAGAGGGTCCAAGCGGAGGGTCAAAGCGGTCTGCGAGAAGCGCTGTCGTTACCTGCCCGTAAGGCGCAGAGACCCACTGAGAGCCGTGGGAGCAGGTGGGGAGGGCGGGCGATAGCTGGGGTGGCGGAGCGTGTGGGAACCTGCAAGCTGTCAGGGAGGCGGAAACTGGGACACGGTAACAGATACGACAGGCGTTCCTCCAGGGTAGGCTGAGCCCGCCTTGGACAGACGGGTTTTCTCCTGACTGGCTATTTCCACAACTCGGTGGGGACAGAGGTTAATGTAGGTGTTAGGTGGTAAGGATGCGAATATTCCTGTCTGATAAAAAGACAACCCCAACGGGTATGGTTTGTTTCCACACTGGGCGTTAATCGGGGTTGTATTTAACCCAATCTAATCCTGACAGTTCCTCAAATTCTTCCCTGAACTGGCTTTATCTGGTCCCTCGCTAAATAATGAGTTGAATAAAATCTTTGACACGTGTTCATTTCACATTTGTAAGGGAGCTATGATTTAACTTTTTGGAAAACATAGTTTAAAGAACTTGAATGAAGCATGCGGTACTTGACAAAAGAGGAGATGGAGTTTATCAGGCACAGACTTCTGTCCAGGCATTCATGGTAGGATTCGGAGCATTTTTCTGGGTAGTGTCCTCTTCCTGGTCTCACGCACCCACCTAACACAAAATATTTCGTAAGTCCTATGTTGTGCGTTCCTGTAACAGTTAGCAGAGAAGTTTAAACTCTGGGCTGTAAAGCTAGCGAACGTAGACCTGAGTCCCAGTCCCACCCTACGGATTCTGGGGACGTACCTTAACCTCTGCCAAGTCTCAGCGTCCTCACTTATAGCAATGAGGACACGATTATTCCTGCTTCTCAGGACTGCTAAGGACAGTTACACACTAGTCAGAAAAAGCACTTCCTGGTGCAGGCGTGGACATAAAAATGCTCAGTGGATGTCCTTTTCTGCCCCCCCGTCCCACCTCACTGCCCCTGCCACTTCACGCCTGGTGGCCATGAGTCCCTGTCTGCCTCTCCCTCCACCACACCTGGTCCTGGAGCACGCCTCACAGCGGCCAGGTGCATTCACTTTTTCAAGTTTCCCACAGGGCGTGTGCACCTGTTAGGTGTGTCTTGCCGGCCACCAGGTCTGGGATTTGAACCACACAGTTGCCATGTGAGATCCCATGCCTTAACCACTATACCACTGGCTGGCAATGCTGGGTGCATTTTTTAAAAATGTAGGCCTGACCATTTCATTCCCTTGCTTAAAATCCTTGCAAGACTTCTCATTATTCTTTTATCTCTTTGCTCAATTTTAATTCTTCAAATTTAGTTTTTCTTCAATTTTAACATTTTGCCTTCTGGATTTCCATATCCCACAAAGGGCTGTGGGCATGAAATGGTGTCCACGTATCAAGGAGACTTCTCGTTTTCTTCAGTTACAGGTTGAAGTCGTCACGATCGCACCGCACCCTGCAATAGGACAGTAAGCCTGGGCCGTCCTGAGGCTCCTGCCCGTCCTCCGGCCCCGCCTAGACCAGGGCCTGCACGCTTTCTCTGCCAGGAGCCGCAGAGCACCTGAGAGTCCCCTTTTGCTTCTTTCCACGTCTGAAAGGACGACACCTTTCTGAGCTCCTGGACCTACGCAGGCATGGGCTGGGAGCGGCCCAGGGTCGGAGCACAGGGGTCTCTCTCAGCGCCTGGGACACCAGGGCCCCTCACACGCTCGCCTTCTGTCCCCTTCCTCCCGCTGTGTTCCGTTAACTCCTACGCTGAGTTCAACGTCAATCTTATTTCTTTAGAACCCTCTGCGGTCTCTTCAGACCAGCCTGCGTCTCTGTGCCAGTGGCTGTCATCTGCAAGCAAACAGGCACTGTCGTAATCATCAGCCGAGGTCCGTCCCCTCCCAGCCGGGGCCAGCTCCGTCAGCACAGACGGCTCCTGCCCCACCACTGCCATCCACTCCTGCCTGGCGCTGCACCTGCAGAAGGTGCTCAGTGAACTGCGCCGAGCAAATGCGTTCCCTGTGAAAACGGAGCCGCGGGAGTGGACGGCCCGGCCTGCACTAATTAGACCCTGATCCCTAGTACCTGGTACCGGGTGGATCCTTGTGTGTCTGTGAACAAGAAAGTGGTGCGACCTTTATCAACGGGCTGAAACTGAAGTTCACCGCCGAGCAACAGCAGGGCAGGGGTGGGCACGACCCGCACGGAACCAACCCGCAGACGGGGTTCCTCCACCCCCAGCGAGAAGTCGTGGAAGATGGCCAGGGTGGAGCGGCCGCCAGAAAGCAAAGAACGGGCACATGAGAACGTTCTGTGGGCCAGGGTGACCCAGTGGACTTGGGGGATGAGGAGACAGGGGGTTAAAAAAAGAGATTTTCTAATACATAGACAAGCAATTCTTTTTTCTTTTTGAGAGAAGACCGGGAGAGGCTGAGTCGGCCCCAGTTACACGGTCAGGAAACTAGAGTGGAACCATGAAGGCTGTGGCCATGCTCGATTCTGCACTTGCCAGACAGGGTTCTCAACCCTGCTCACGGCACTGCTGGGCCCGGGCAGCGATCGCATCCCCCTGGAGTCTCAGTGAAGCCATCCTGGTATTTCTATTTTTTTTCTTTTTTGAGAGTTTTTTTGCTATAGGGCACGCACGCTCACCCACCTGGGGGGTGATTTCTCACTTTCTATCTCTCTGTCTCTCTGTCTGTCTGGCAAGCGCACGCGCCCTATAGCAAAAACCTCTCAAAAAAAAAAAAAATTACTGTCCTAGATGATGCTGGGTCCCCTCTGCAGCAGTAATCTTCCTTACTTGGTCACCAGTCACAAAGGAATAAAGCAGGAATAAAACTCCATTTGAGTTTTCTGGCAGCAAGAAACCCCAGCTATGAACAGCTGGAAGACTAAGGCCGATCGGCACTGACCCACGGCCGAAATCACAGGACCGATTCACACTCACCGGCATGCCTCTGAAAGGTGTGCAGGCACGATACTAGGTACTGCGTGTGGACGGTTAGAGACATTCTCTACGCTAGTTACACACAGGAAGAACACAAGAAAGGTTTCGAGAAGTCTGGAAAGCAGGGAGGCATGGGGCCGGCCTGTCACCTCTTGGGCATCTCGTCCTACACGTGTGTCATTAAACAGGGCCAGACCTGGTAACTCGAACTTCCTAGCAGATGACACTATCGGGCACCGCTCACTGCTTGACTTCCGGTACACACAACTGGCTTTTCTTCTACTATACACAGAATTCTACTGTACAAAAAAATCATTTTTAAAAATTATTTTTCTAATACAAGTGAATGTGCATGAGGTTTGGGGGTGTGTATAGCTGGAGAAGATTCAAATGAGAAAAAGCTTCCTTGTCAGTATGGTGTCGGGACGACAGCGACATCCTGCCACCCTGTGGCAGAGGAGGAAACTGTCAGCTATATTCCAGGAGCTGAATTCCATTTCTTCAGGGAAGAACAGGATTGAAGCAGGCTTTTTGGTTATGTTTTAACTGGACTTCTATTAAGTGCCATGGACTAAATTAATGTACAACTAAAATGTCCCCCTTAGTTCTCAGGAACAGAGAAGACAAATAATACAATCCTGGAATTCAAAAAATCTGGCAAAACTAGTCCAGTATATTCAGTCTGCTTTGGAAAATCTCAAGGTATTAGCCGATGAACATACGGGAAGGAGTGCAGGAGTGAAAGCCTGCGGGGAGCCCTGGGTTATTTTGCATAATCACTCTACCGTTGAAGGGTAAGGAGTCATTGGAGTGATTTAAATGTTTCTTCTAAGTTTATTTCCCTTTCCATCAGATTCTTAGTACTCATGCCCTCCTAAAAGTTCCCCAAGGGGAACACTGAGTATTAACTACCAGCAGTCACAGCACAGGCAAGACGGGAGCAGACACAGCTGGGGACGGAGAAGGACACGCACAGCTGGCCCTCCCTGGGCCCTGCTGTTATCTGTGCTGGAGAGCAGAGGCCTCCTTGCAGAGAAATGGGCCTTTTCTAATGATGGTAAGATGGCCCACCACTGACTCATCCTCCAGCCATGTTCCGGCCCAAGGCCAGCATCAGAAGACGACCAGGAAAGTACCTGAAGGTAAAGCAGGTAAAGCCTATAGCCTATTCTCACCTCGTCGGGCCGACTAATCGCAATGCACAGTGGATAGTACGGCCACCACATACCGGCTACTTTCTGACCAACAAGGACACTGAACAGCCTAGGCAGACAGCTTGCTGCGAGGCCTCCAGCATTTTGTAGTACGCACTTTACAAGGTAATTTATACACTTTATAGAAAACAAAACTGCTGCTACTAAAGTCAATTGCCATCCTCTTAATATAGACTTGGTAAAAAAAAAAAAAAAAAACTAGACTCTGTAAAGAGCCCTCCAGTATGCAATACACAGTACACACAGTGTGAGGTCAGTGTACAGTGCACGATGCACACAGTGTGAGGTCAGTGTACAGTGCACGATGCACACAGTGTGAGGTCAGTGTGCAGTGCACAATGCACACAGTGTGAGGTCAGTGTGCAGTGTACGATGCACACAGTGTGAGGTCAGTGTGCAGTGCACGATGCACACAGTGTGAGGTCAGTGTGCAGTGCAC